ATATATATATATACACACTGTATGAGAGGGAGAGAGAGGTGTGGCCAAAAGTAACGGTAACCCTCCACAAGTCTCAATTAATTAAAAAAAAAAACTGGCACATGGAAATGGCTTCCATCATTTTTTATTTCAGCGTCCAGAAAGCAGACACTGCATTTGCATTATGACATAACATATTCTTGTAAATGATAAAACAAATGAAAACGACATGGACATAATTATTGGTACTCCTGACCTAGTTTTTCGTAGCCCACCCTTTGGAGGCAATGATAGCATGTGAACACTTTCTGTAGCCAGGAACAGGACTTCACTTCTCAAATGGCAGTTTGTCCTACTCTTCTTGAGCAAACTGCTCCAGTTGTTTAAGGCCCCGTTCACACTGAGCGATTTTATTGCGCGGTAATTACCGAGCGATATCGCTCTCCAATGCATCTCAATGGGGCTCTGTCCGTCGCTGTCGCGGGTCGTGCGTCGCTTCAGCAGGACCCTTTTTGGAGCGGATTTTGCCGCGATTCTAGGTTGCTCAATGCAACCATTTGCGCGATATCGCGCAAAATGCAAATCGCTCAGTGTGAATGGGGCCTTAAGTTTGAATGGTTCCTTCTCCCAACTTATGCTGGGCACACGCTGGTTGTAAGGTACTTAAAAAAAACGTACGATCTGCCTATCTTGGACAGGCAGATCGTACTTGCGATGATCGCAAGCTGCGCCCCCCTGAGGGGCGGACTTCCGATGACCGCAATGCCTAACGGGCAGTGTGCGCTTGCGCACACCGGCCTGTCCGGCTTTTATCTTACGAACATGCTACACACCCGCCAAACATCGTACGATGCTCGGCGGGTTTTCAAACATGTTCGTAAGTTAAAGGTCGTGCGACCTTACAGTAGTAGAGGTCGCACGGCTTCCACACACCTTACGATAATCGTACGATCGCGGGATTTCCTGCGATTATCATACGATTATCGTAAGGTGTGTGGGCACCCTAAGGCTTTTATCTCTTTCCATAGATGTTCCATTAGATTCAGATCAGGACTCTGCAGGCCATTTCAGAACAGAACAATGTTTGCTTATGAACCATTCATTGGCTCTTCGAGATGTATGTTTTGGGTCATTATCCTGCTAAAGAACCAATGATCCAGAACTGCGATTTCCAACACTTGGCATTATGTTTTGCTCCAGAATTCCATATTCTTCTTTTGATATCATAGTACCCTGCATGGATTCCAGGAACCCAATGTCATAGGCAACACAGCAACGGTTTGAAGCATCCTCCATGTTTAATCATATGGACAGTGTTCTTTAAAAGAAAAAGAAAAAAGAACCTTGTTTTTTTTAACAGAGCTGCGGTGAATTAAACAGTTTTGTTTCCTCTGCCCAAAGTACATTCCATACTAAGTTTCTGTGTAACATGTATTTTATGAAGCTCCAGTCTGGCTTTTTATGTTGGTCAGAAGTGGGGTCTTCCTGGGTCTTGGAGGCCACTTTCATTCAGACAGCGACGGATGGTGTGACTCGATATTGTTGTACATTGATCTTGGACGTCATCCAGGATTTGTTTTGAAGTTTTCTTTGGCTCTAACATTTTATATTTTTCTCCCGCCCATATTCCTCTTGTGTCTGCGGGTTGGCTAAAGGCCCCACATACCTTTAAACTAAAGGATAATATTAGCAACTGTAGTCACAGGAAGATGTAGCTCTTTGGAGATGATTTTTTAGCTTTTACCTTTACCATGGTCGTCTATTACTGTATATACAGGTGAAACTCGAATAATTAGAATATTGTGCAAAAGTAATTGCAGTAAGTTCTGCAAAAGGGGCCCAAACCAAGTACTGAGTACATATGCATGCTTGTACTTTTTAGAGGTCCGATATTGTTCTATGTACAATCCTTGTTTTATTGATTGCATGTAATAATCTACTTTTTTGAGGTTGTGGATTTGGGGTTTTCATGAGCTGTAAGCCATAATCATCACAATGATGACAAATCACGGCTTGAATTATCTTGCTTTGCATGTAATGAGTCTATCTCATATATTAGTTTCACCTTTTAAGTTGCATTAGTGAAATAAATGAACTTTGCAAGATATTCTAATTAATCGAGTTTCACCTGTGATATATATATATTACACCCACACACACACACACACTATATATATATATATATATAGTGTATGTATATACATAATTATAGCTAATTTGCCTACAAACGTCAGGTGGTCATAATAATCTGGCCACTCAGTATGTATGTATGATGCTAATTAAAAAAATTATATTCAAATTATTTGAAAATAGCTTACAGTAGATC